TGTGCCCATCTGGAGGACGTGGAGCCCACCCTGTCCCACCAGCCTGTCCCCTCTAGCAGATCCCCCAGAATACTTGTTGGGGTCAAGGGGTGGATTAGCAGGGGTGGAGCAGTCTCTGCCATCCCACAGACCTTGCCAAGCTTTCAAGTCCTGGGAGGACCTAAGATCCCAAACTGGTGCAAAAATGGGAGAGGAAATTTTACAACAGGGCCAAAACCCACAAAGCCAAGTCCTGAGCTGGTTGCGAGATCCAGGTGCCTTCCTGGGGTCTGTGCCTCAAGACAGGGCCAGGCTCTCCCCTGTGCCCACCTCTCAGGGCGCCATGGGACCGAGCATGGCAGAACCTCGCAGCCCAAAATAGCCCCCGGCCTCCAGAACAGTGTCAGGAAATGGCATTGTGGGGGTGGGTCAGGCTCATTTCAATCATATCAGTGTCCAGCCTGGATTTTGGGAACAGGGTGGTTGTTGTTTTGCAGGAGATATTGTAAACAGTGTAAATCCAGCTCCCGGCAGCATTGCTGTGTAGCCTTGTAACTCCATTGTCAGCCCAGTTGTGCCGCCAAAATAGGCCGTTTCCATGTGAATCCACGCTGGTGGGTGCTCCTCCTCCCATGGGGCTCTGCGGGGGCACAGCAGTGCCAGAGGCTCGCCTGGGCAGGGCCACTAGCCTGGAGATGGGAGCTCAGCTGAGCATCCCCCTCCCTCACCGCCACCTCAGGGGCTGGTGTCTTCTGCCTTCATGCCCATGGTGAGCGTGGGGCAGATTCCGAGCGTTTCGCAGGGCTGGGGGCTGGGGGACACCATGTCCTGCCCCGGCTCCGGAGGGAGCATGAGAAAGTGTGGCTGTCACCAGCCTTGGCTCGGCAGCACATGGTGTAACTGGGCAGGTCTGAGTCCCTCTGAGCCTGTCCCTCCAGTGGGGACAGTGCCAGGACTGCCTGCCACCCACCCGGCATGGCACGTCCTCCCTGGCACAGGGTGGCAGCTTTCCACAGGGTGCACTGAGAGAAGCTGTAGGGAAGCAGGAATAGATCTGCAGCTCCTGAAAGCCTGTTCCTGTTCCTGCCCGGCACGTGGAAGTAAACAGCTGCTGGGGCACTAAATGAACTCCTGCTAGCGCAGAGTTGATGGCTTTCCTCTAAAGCTGCCAGGACAGAGCGAAATCGCGATCTTGGCAATCGATGGCTGTCGTGCAGGCAGTCCGCACAGGGCTCCTCCAGGCAGCGATTGCCAGCAGCCCTCTCCATCCCTCGGGAACAGCTGCGTGACGGCGATGGTCTCCATCCCCAGCTGGGGCCAGTGCGGGGATCTGGGCTGGAAGGATGTCCTGCTGGCACATCGTGATGGGCTGAGGCCAGGCAGGGAAGGGGTGCAGGCGGGCGAGGAGGGGGGGTGGGCAGATGACACCTGCCTAGCACAAACGTGCTCCTGCTGCAGGGCTCTTGCAGACAGATTGCTCATCCCCTCGCAGGGAGCTTGGGGAGGAGGGAGAACACCCTTGGAGATACGGGGAGCTGTTGGCTTACATCTGGCCATGATGAGATTTTTCTCCCTGCCCAGGGAGGATGGGAGCAGGACTCCCCTGGTCTTGTTCCCGTTCCCATTCCCATTCACATACGAGCAGCCCGGAGAGGGGCAGTGGTAGCAATAAGGGGGGCATCAGGGAGAGCCTGCCCGGCTCCTCTGCCGCGCCGGAGGGAGGAGGGGGTAGATGGGCTAATGGCCTCTTGACATCGGCTCACACGCCACGTCTGCCCGCAGGCGCGGGGCAGTCAGATTGAAAACAGATTTAACTTCCCAGATATATCGTTTCATTTAAGGGCCAGTAATTCTGTCAGTCTGCCACTGACAAACGAGGGTCCCCATGCCAATCCGCCGGGGAGAGTGATGTCGCGGCGTTCATCTCGTGTCACCAGGCAGAGAATTACGGACTGTGCTGGCCTTCGGAGGCAAGACTAATAATGCCGCGCGGCAGAGGGGGATTTGGGGGCCCGCTTGTTTATCGAGGGCTGGCCAGGCAGCCGCGGCGCGAGGCCGCGCGGGCGGAGGTGGAAGAGGTCAACGCTGACGCCCATAAATACGAACTTTAACTGAGTCTAGATGAGATGTGTCAGGACTGAGGGAAGATTTGCAGCATCTCTTCAGGAAGAAAAATATGGGCCAGGGGTGAAATATATTTTGTCGGGTTGTGAGTCCCAGGCAACTTTGTCCTTTCAGATGTAATTTTTTTATATATATATGGAGAGAGGGATGTGCATACACACACACACTTGCACACTGGCATTGTGTCTGGTTTTGGTTTGTTTTATATACACCCATCTGCGCAGCCAGGTTTATATAGGTGTTACTGCCATGCATACACATAAATATCGTGAACACAGGGGTGCAGTGACCTTTAGATTGGGATGAGCAGCCAGGAATGTTAAACAAATTGCCGTGGTTTCAGCCCAAAGGCCGGGCTGGGCTGGATGTGCAGTGCGTCCCTACCGCTGGTGGAGGGGCTGGGGGGAGCTGGGATGGTGCTGGTCCCTCCTCGGACCCTCCTCACTGTGGGACTGGGGAAAAGCCCCGTCCCATCCGCTGGCAGGAACCAGTGGTGGTTCCCACGGACAAAGAGGTTCCTGCGTGTCGCTGGGTCTGTCTGTGGGGTGCTCTCACTCACTTCTCGTTAGAGATCTGGGAGCCACGATGAAGCCTGTTTGCAGCCAGTTGCTTCGCTGCCTTTAGCTTGCGTGGGTCATCTTGACCCCCATCTCCTGGCCAACAGCCAGAGCATTTTTTGGCAGATTTAAAATCTCCTTCTGGTTGTGGATGCTGCAGCAATGTTTAGCATCCCATGCACTGGGGGAAATGTGACGACGCTCCCCGCCTGCCGGTGTCCCGGCTGGCACAGTCCTGCCCTTGCTGCTGGGGTGCAGGCGCAGAGCCGCGGCAGCGCACTCTTGCAGCATGGGGAAGAGATCCTGGCCCTGCTGCACTGCTCTTCGTGGTTTTTTTGCTTTAAGATGTCCGTTGTGGTGGTATCGGGGCAGGGGGATGGGGACCTGCGTTGACCGTTAACACCTCGGACTCATGTGGGGTTTCAATTGCGGGTGACGGGCGGATGGTAAATCCACTTTCTCACTTCTTGGTAGCTGAGGTGACGAGGAGGTCGCACCCAGTAATTGTCCAGGCTGTGGCTCAGGGTGCTGGCATGTGCCGTGCTCCTGCCTGGGACCTGTGGGGCCAAATCCTGCACCAGTGACCCAGGAGGAGGCCCGGAGAGCATCCTTGGGGTGAAAGTGCCTCGGGGACATCTGGGTGCTCCTTGTGCCTGTGCTGAGGCTGACTGGGGAGAGGCTGGGGATCTGTGTCCCGGCACCTGTTCAGGATTAGTATCTCTGCAGAGGTGTCGGAGGGCAGGCACTGGTACCAGAGGTGGGGGGAGCCTGGACCAGCAAGTGCAGCAGGGCTGTGCCGTCCCCACTGGGGTTCAGTTTTGGGATGTTGAGGTGCTGGGGTGACCTGGCCACGTTTTGGGGAGACCAAACACTCTCAGGGGCTCCCTCCCCTCCTGCCTACGAGCCCACAGTTTGGTTGCAGAAGGTTTAAAGCTTTTTTTAGCCTCGCGCCCAGGCAGCGCCAGCTGTGCCTCAGCTCGCCTTCCTGTCCTTCCAGCCCTTCATCCCAGCCCGTTTGCTGCAGGGAAATGCATTTTCCTGTGGGTCACAGACCTTCAGCGACTGGGCGACAGGGGAGTGCTCTGCCGGTGTGGGGAGGGGGTCACTGCTGCGTTTTGTGAATGGGTTAAATGCTTGCTTTAAAAAAAAAGAAAGATAAAAATCGCCTCTTAAAGACAGCTTGCATCAGGTCCTTGATAAAGCACTCCACTGAAAAGCCTTGACATTAAAAGAGGAAGATCCTTTGCTTAACTTTTAAAGGCGAGAGTGCGTGCGTGCCGCCTCGCCGGGAGGATTGATTGACCCTGAGTGGCCGTCCATTAGCAGCCCTCTCCTCCGGGAGGCCAGGCAGGCGCGGGGCACCGGGCAGCTGAGCTCCACCTGGAACAAGGCCAGGGGGTGCCTGCTGTCACCC